CCCCCCCCCCCCCCCCCCCCAATAAATTCGACCCCTTATTTATTTCCAATCCTTAAAAAAGAGAGGAAAAAAAAAAGTCTGCCCGTTCCCATTGAAGAAATGACCCAATTGCTCATTTCTATGAATTTGAGCTTCTCTTGAAGCCGCTCTCCACTTTTCCCATCTAGTTTGTTTTTTGCCTCTGGAATCGGCGGCAAATTCGTATGTTGCCGCTTCGCCAAGAAGAAATCAAAGCTGAAAGAAGAAGAGTTTTTTTGAGGTTGAAATCGCTATCGTAGCTGCAATTAAGGTAGTTTGACGAATTGGGATCATAATTGAGTTTTAGATAACTCGACCAATTTTCGTCATTCATATCCAATCATCCCAGGTTTCTTCCTTCAATCGATCTCATTTGAAGATCCTGTTCCTGTTGAAATTATTGGTATATTCCTATTCTCTTAATTCTGAATTCGTTTGATCGGTTTTGAAATTCGACGATGTACTATCCGCACCCGCCGCCGATGTTGGTGAACTGCTCCGGATGTCGGACTCCTCTCCAGCTACCGCCAGGAGCCCCGTCGATTCGGTGCGCTATATGCAAGGCTGTGACACAGGTCATGGACCCGCGCGCCGCCCCTTCGCCTTCGCCTTCTCATGCACCTCCGCCGGCTCCATCGCCATACAATCATGCGCCACCAGGACCTCCAGCCCACCCGCATGGCCGTAAAAGGGCTGTGATCTGTGGGATCTCTTATAGGTACTCGAGACATGAGCTCAAGGGCTGCCTTAACGATGCTAAGTGTATGCGTTATCTTTTGGTCAATAAATTCCGTTTTCCTGAAGATTCTATCCTCATGCTTACAGGTAATTTTGCCCAACTCTCTCTCCCTCTCTGCAGTGCATCATGATATTTACAACATATTGCTATTTTCTTGTTGATCTTAACTCTCTAATTGTTATGGAAAACTACAACTCTCTGCTTGTTGGTACTTCTGATGGGTTAATTCTAATAGGAAATGATTGAATGGTTACTTCGTTTGTCAGTAAATTTGAAAGCATCAGAGATACCGCCTGTTTGTGCTTTAGGACCTCTAAGGATAAGTTGGGTGTTGTGTATAATTTCTAACCTCCTAGCCTTTCATGGATCATTAAGAAAACATATTACACGGACAGAAGAGTGGTTGGTATGAAATGAAATGGTAATCTCATGCTTTAGGAGGATATATCGTGGGTCTAATTTCAAAACTATTGATATATAGCAAGAAAATGGCAATATTGAGCTCTTGGCTCTTGACGACTAACTATTGAGGATATTTAGTCCTAAATTATGGTTTACCATATGACTTATATGAGACCCTTTATTATAGGTAAATATCTTGTATAATTAAGGATATTTAGCCTTCACTTACGGTTTACCATAGGTATCATATTTGACCATTTGTTATAGGCAAATATCTTGTATGATATTTAGCCTTCTATTACGGTTTACTATAGGTATCATATTTGATTCACTTATTGCTCTTTCCATTTCCTTTATAATTTATTTGATTTCGTAAATGATTATAAATATAGAACTTTCACCACCATTTAGGTGTAGTGGTTTTAGCCAATATTCTCACTGACCCTACAACCTTTAGTATACAAAAAAAAAAAAAATGGTAAGATTTTAACCCATTCCCTCAAAGTTCTTTTTATTTTTGCATATGTCCCAATCTACTCGATAGAGGGTGGTGAGAATATTTGCTAAAACCACAACACCTAAATGGTGGTGAAATTCTCTATTTATAATAATTTATTGAATCAAATAAATTACAAAGAAAATGGAAAGAGCAATAAATTGATACAAGTTATTTGCTCATAATAAAATGGTAAATATGATATCTATGGTAAACCGTAATGGAAGGCTTGATATTTGCCTATAATAAATGGTTAAATATGGTACCTATGGTAAACTGTAATGGAAGGCAAAATATCCTCAATCATACAAGATATTTGCCAGTAATAAATGGTCAAATATGATATATATGGTAAGCCATAATTCAGGACTAAGTATCTTTACGAGGTGAAAAAGCCAAGCATTTCTGACACTGGGCAATTCAAAGTGTTAAAATTGAAGTTGTTACATTAGCTTACATCTGGGGAGTTTAGTTATGTGATAAGAACTTTATGCTATCAGCGTGTACCTTTCCTGAAAGTGTTGCTATACATTTATTCTTGGAGTTTGATGGCACCAGTGTGGAATTATCTACTGTCCCTAGCTCTCAAGAATAACTACTAGCATCTAGACCATAATGGAGTAATTTAACTTGAGGGGTGGAATTTGTGGTGTTAGAATTCACATCGGCTAATTTAGGGAATGATCATGGGTTTATAATCAAATAATACTATCTTCATTGGTCTGAGACCTTTTGAGAAAGCCTAAAGCAAAGCCATGAGAGCTTATGCTCAAAGTGGACAATATCATACTATTGTGGAGAGTCATGTTCATCTAACAAGAATCATGTTTCAATATAAGAGAGGACACAGCGAAGATTTCTCGGTCATCACTGTGGGTTCTTTCCAATGACCCAACAGAGTGAAGAAAAACAGAGGAGAAAAGGGAACTGTTAATGCCTCATGAAAACGAAGTTTATGGCTCAGCTGGGAGCAAGAAATTTTGTTAGGGAGGGTTACTTTTTTACATCCCAACACATTACATTTATGGTCTCAACTCAAAAAGGTTTTAGGAGGGAAAATTTAGAGGAGAAACTATACAATCATATATTTAATATATACCTTTTGAATACTATGTTATATTAGCATGGAACAAATCAAGTGCTCCTCCTCTCTGGCTCTGCCCATGTAGTAAGTCATTATCACTTTAAAAGAGAGCCCTTTGGACTTGATTGTAGATCCACTTTTGTGTTCAGAGTATCTTTCGGGAAAATATCCAAAGACGATAAGAGGCTTATTTGTTTCGAGTTTTATATTATCTTAGCATGGAGCAAATCGGATATGTTTTTTTTGGTTTCCTCTCTCCAAGTGTGTCAAAGCAGACCTTGAATTCTGAATCCATGTCTGCATATCTTTTGTTTTTGTTTTTTTTTTTTTTTTTTTGCAATCCTCCTAAGCTTTTTCTCTCTGGATAATGAGGCCTTATAAGTTATCGCCTCAATTATCAATCACTTCTAAATTTATTGCCTATTTATTTCTTTGTCATCTTTTCTTACCTCTGGTTTTCTTGTGGCCATTTTGGAAAATGAAATGCAGAAGAAGAAACTGATCCATATAGAATTCCCTACAAAAACAATATAAGAATGGCATTGTATTGGCTAGTACAAGGTTGTCAACCAGGTGATTCCTTGGTATTCCATTATTCTGGCCATGGTTCTCGCCAAAGGAACTATAATGGTGATGAAGTAGATGGATATGATGAAACTCTTTGCCCTCTGGACTTCGAAACTCNTTTTTTTTTTTTTTTTTTTTTTTTTTTTTTTTTTTTTTTTTTTTTTTTTTTTTTTTTTGCAATCCTCCTAAGCTTTTTCTCTCTGGATAATGAGGCCTTATAAGTTATCGCCTCAATTATCAATCACTTCTAAATTTATTGCCTATTTATTTCTTTGTCATCTTTTCTTACCTCTGGTTTTCTTGTGGCCATTTTGGAAAATGAAATGCAGAAGAAGAAACTGATCCATATAGAATTCCCTACAAAAACAATATAAGAATGGCATTGTATTGGCTAGTACAAGGTTGTCAACCAGGTGATTCCTTGGTATTCCATTATTCTGGCCATGGTTCTCGCCAAAGGAACTATAATGGTGATGAAGTAGATGGATATGATGAAACTCTTTGCCCTCTGGACTTCGAAACTCAGGGAATGATTGTTGATGATGAAATTAATACGGCAATTGTTAAACCTCTTCCTCAAGGTGTAAAGCTTCATGCATTCATAGATGCTTGCCATAGCGGAACCGTACTAGATTTGCCATTTCTATGCAGAATGAGAAGGTTGGTATTACATAAATATGGTTATGCTTTTTAGCTGAGACATAATATGAGACGCGGATGTTGCTCACACCGAAGTTGCAAGGACATTGATAGTTGTAACTATCCAAAAGACTTGGTAGTGTATATATTCACTTTAAATTGTTGAATGTCTCTTGGATTCAACTTTTCATTCTTCGATTTCCCTCTTGGTCATAGGAGCGGACAATACATGTGGGAGGACCATCGCCCTCGATCTGGAGTATGGAAGGGAACTAGTGGCGGGGAAGCTATTTCGTTCAGTGGTTGTGATGATAACGAAACCTCGGCCGATACATCTGTTAGTTTAATAATCCACAATTCTTTTTATCCCTATAGCATTGCTTTAGATCTGAAATGCAATGATACTGAGCTAATTACTTAAATGGAAACAGGCTCTATCAAAGATAACATCAACAGGCGCCATGACTTTCTGCTTCATCCAAGCGATTGAGCGGGGCCATGGAACTACATATGGAAGCATACTGAACTCGATGCGAAACGCTATAAAAAGTGCTGGTGGTAGTGGTGACATTGGTGGTGGTGCTGTGACATCTTTGGTTACCATGCTTTTGACTGGAGGGAGTGCCATCGGTGGGCTCAGACAGGTACTTCACTTTTCGTTGTAGATCATCTGGTTTGTTCAAGAGTTCCATGTTTGAGGTTGCATGAATGCATAGAATCCACTAACCATGCTTAGTATATTGTTGTTAAGAACTTTAGTTCAAATTTCATTCCTGTTAAAAGGCTTCTAATTGTTGGTTATTTGCAGGAGCCACAATTAACCGCGTGTCAGCCGTTCGATGTCTACACGAAACCTTTCTCTCTGTGATCTAGAAGAGGGGATGGACCAAGGTTACATTTGAAGGAGGGGTATGTTATGTTGGCCTATTTCTCTACTTGCTTGATATTTGCTTGTTGAAATTATATGTTCATGATATATACTGTAGTGGGAAATTTAAGGCAATTTAAATGCAAATTGTAGTGTACATGGATTGATGATATAGTACTGCAATTCTGGTGTTGGAAGATTCTATTCGACTCGTTATCGTGAATTTCGACTGCAAAGACTAATATAAGGGAAGAGATTCAAACTTATCACTCGATTAAGGATGCGTTTGAGGGTGATTTTGAAACAGCTCGTCATATTTAAAATCATTTTCAAATAAGTCTTTAATCATTTATAAATAGTTTTGATGGTATAAAAATGACCAAAAAATATAACTATTTCAAAATTATTTTTATGAATGATTTTAGAACATCGATTATTTTTTATCGTCTTTGTGCGGCCTTAATTATGAAAATGATGTGAAGAATGTGAAGAGAAATGATGTGAAGGATGTGAAGAGGAGTGACAAAATTCCCTAATTTACAAAGTAGGGCCAAATTCTAATAATTTTTTCTATGAAAATCTATATTTCCTTCTATTTTTCATGATTCATCTATTAATTTTTTACTCTATTTTTAAGATTTTAAAATGGTAGACTAACACAAAGTCTTTTCCAGGATACATTTAAAACACACCAAATTTTGAGTTTCTATGATTGAGCCATACCTTATAGGTAAAGGTAATAACTTTCAATTCCTTGTGTTTTTCTTAGCCATCAATTCTTATAATCATTTTCATTCGGAATCCCAATTTATACATGTACTCTACATTTACTTGGGTGTCACAATTTAATTAAAGAATACCATGTAAAAAAAAATCAAGTATGTCACCATTAAAAGATCGACTATTACAAGATTCAAAGTTATAGATATTTTAAATTTGGCAACTTAGCCCAGCCATCGAAATTTGCGTTATCTTAAAACATTATCTATCTCAAATTACAAATTCGTTAGAACATTAACATTATTTATTACAAATAAGACAACGTAGAAGTTCGTTAGAACATTATTTATTACAAATAAGACAACGTAGAAGTTCGTTAAAACATTATTTATTACAAATCAGACAACGTAGATTTAAACTTCTATGGAGATAAATAAGAGATAAATAATATTTTAACGATTTCTAATTAACAAAAAAATGTGAGGGATATAAATTTAAACCGTCTAACGACATCAAACAAAAAAGTATATATCAAAATCGCTGAGCTATGCCCAAGTTAATCGCTGAGCTATGCCCGTGTTAATCGCTGAGCTATGCTCGTATTAATGGGTGAGCTATCACCTTCCTTCATGCAGTATTAGACTTCCAAAAAGCAGAACATCAAAGACCAATCTGAGAGAGTTTTGGTACCAAATCCCAAGGGCTGAAAACGACAGTGAGTACGGAAACAGAGACCCATCAGCATCCGCCGCGTCTACCATCTGAACGGTTGGAAGTTGAGTCCAGGAGCCAACTCGGCCTGGTCAAACACACAAACAGGCACCAAACTTTGCGTATCTGAATTGCTTTTATTTTATCCCTTTTCTGCTTCTATTCCGCCACTGAATTCAATGCTCCCACCAAACTTCACGAGATAATCAAATCAAAGAGAACACAATCAAGAACAACTCAACAAACCCATAAATTTGGACACTCTGGATCCTGAAACTTCAAGCCAGGCCCCAATTATTAGCCTTTTCTCTAATTCCCCCCACCTGGGTCTCATCGATCTCCTGAAGAAGAAGAAGAAGAGAAGAAGAAGATGATGATGATGAACAAGTCAGAAAAAGAATGCTCCTCAAATTTCCTTACACTGTTGGCCAAATTCTTGATTGGACTGTCTCAAGTAAGGAACAAGGAAACTATAAGGGAGTCTCAATAGCCCCTTTTTTCTCTGTCTTTTTGTTGAGAAGTAATACCAAACAGGTTTTTTTCTCCACCATTGTCTTCTTTTGTCTCCTTGCTTTCCCCATTTTCTCATTTTTCTTCTTCTTCGCATGGCTGTTGTTGTTTTTCCCTGTTGATTTCGAGTTTACGGATCCGACATCGAGATTCTTCGTGCTGTCTTTCTCTTGTTTTCTCTTCTGTATTTGCTTCTGTGTCCATCTCTATAAGTTGTGGTGTTTTCAGATCTTCTTTTGGAGATCAATTGCAAAGAGGCTCAAAATAACAACTTGAGGCAACTGCCAAATTTCCTGAAGATTATATAGAAAATGAAGTGCTTCTTCTACTTCAGAAACAAGAACAGGAGTAGGCATCAAAGATCAGCGCCTGAATTGAAAGAGCAGCAAGAATCCGACATTTCGGGGTGTAGTCGGACAGCTGCTTCTTTGAGCTCCCTGACTTCTCCCCGGAGTGTACCTGAATTGTATGAAGAGAAAGCACATAATTTGAGAGTTTTCTCATTTACAGAGCTCAGACAGGCAACACATGACTTTAACAGGCTTCTCAAGATCGGGCAAGGGGGGTTTGGGAGTGTCTTCAAAGGCTCAATTAAGCCAGTTGATGGGAAAGGAGAACCCCTCGTTGTTGCTATCAAGCAATTGAGCAAGGATGGCTTACAGGTACGGATATTCACCTTAGAAGTAAGCGCTAAGGGCTTGTTTGAATGTTTTGCTTTGAATTTAATGGATGAATTTCTCCATATTATATGCATCCAGTACAAAAAATTATCAATGGAAAAGAATGCTAATTATGCTAAAGGGGAAAGGACATAGAATAGAAGTGATTTTTTACATACCGGGTTTGTTTTGCAAATAGGGCCACAAGCAATGGCTGGCTGAAGTTCAATTTCTTAGTATTGTGGAGCATCCAAATCTTGTCAAACTCATAGGATACTGTGCTGTGGATGGAGAAAGAGGAATTCAAAGACTTCTTGTTTATGAGTACATGCCCAACAGAAGCTTGGAAGATCATCTCTTCAAAAAGGCGCTACCCGCGCTCGCTTGGAAAACAAGATTGCAGATAGTACTTGGTGCAGCTCAGGGATTGGCTTACCTGCATGAAGGATTGGAAATTCAGGTACCATATCCGCTTAACTAGAATTCAATGTTGACAGGGAATGCTACCTTGACCCTGCTACTTCTAACGCTCGAATTGTCCTCGCAAAAGTTTTTCATCCTTCAGAACTTCCCTGACTATTAAATTTAATTTCATTATCTTCTAATAATGGCACAGATAATATACAGAGATTTCAAGAGCTCAAATGTGTTACTAGATGAGAACTTTCATCCAAAACTTTCAGATTTCGGGCTTGCCAGGGAAGGGCCAGAAATTGGGCGTACTCATGTTTCGACAGCAGTAAGCGTTCTTTTTGTCTTCCCTTCTAATCACTCTCAGGCTGCATTGCTGCTTACAGTGAACTACTTTGTGTACAACACAGGTAATGGGGACAAATGGATATGCAGCTCCAGATTACATAAAGACAGGTCATCTCACAGCAAAAAGCGATGTATGGAGCCTCGGTGTTGTACTTTATGAGATTCTGACAGGAAGACGATCATTGGAGAGACATCGGTCGCGACCGGAGCAGAAACTTGTGGAATGGGTTAAACATTTCAATCCTGACAGCAACAGGTTTAGTTTGATAATAGATCCACGGCTTGAAAACCAGTATCCTATCAATGCAGCTAGAAAAGTAGCTAAGTTAGCAGATACTTGCCTGGCAAAGAATGCAAAGGATAGGCCCTCCATGGCTGAGGTAGTGAACAGATTGAAGCTGATCATCAAAGCTGAGGATGACAGCGAACCTTACGCGAAAAGTCCTGATTCTGTAAATGACGAACCCGACATGGAAAGAGAGCCAGAGAAAATGGAAGCACCGATGTCGTGGAGAAGGCGAATGAGCCACCTGCAGAAACTGGGAGAGCATGTGGAGGGTGCAAGTAGAAGAAGATTTATGATAATGCAAAGAGCAAAAGTGCCTTAAAAAACTTGGGTTTTTTCTCATTCAGAATCAGATTTTGGTATATAGACTAAGCTGCAGTTTTGAAACATTGAGGCAAAACATAGGACACAAACTAGAAAGTCTACTGCCGGAGGTGAACAGAAGCTAATGTAAATAGTCTAATTGAGTTATTTTATTCTATTGTTTCAATGCTTCAGCTTTTGCTCTATGGGGCCCAGAAAACAAAACCAACTATTTTAATAAAATCTGAAGATAAAATGCTTCAGATTTTATTCTATTGTTTAATGAAATATATTATAAAGATATAGATATTGGCTGGTCATGGTGGGGAGGTTTCCATCTGCATCCACTAGAAAAAAACTCATATCTATGTTGACCATAGGCCACTCTAGGTACTTATTATACCTCATCTTAGCAGTTAAGAGGAAGGAGTGAAGGAAACAAAAGATAAATAAACAGCCTCTGCTTTCATTCTCAAAACCCAGAAATTCTCCATTCAATTCAATTAGTATTATCATTCCACTCGCTGCATCACTCAGCTTTCAACCTATATGATATTTAATTTACAGGTCCCTTGATCGCTGGCGATTTGGGACTAGAAGCCATTAAGATGGGCAGCCTATGTTGAAATCAATGGATAAAAGAAACACACCAAAGTGGTAAATAAGTAGGAAGTGATAAGACAAAGTAAAAGAGCATTCAAACTACAGAGTATCATTGCCATAGGAATTCTTCAATGTGTTACTGTTAATTGAGGAAAAAAAGTATAGCTATTGTGCCGGTGTTATAACTTATAGTGATCCAATAGAGGGTTCAGGGTTAAATTATAGACCGAGCTACTGAATGATATAATACCCCTATCACACATCATGGTTACCTCGAAAGCCAAAAAAAGAGAAAAACAAAACAAAACCACAAGATTTAAATGGACTTTGCCTTATTCAAGGCAAGTTTTTCATAGTATTACCTCAAAGGATGATTCCTCCAAGAACGTTTTTCTCTTTGTTGGTGTATCAGGAACTTCCAGAGAATGCTCTAGTTAATGATCCTTCACTCTGATAATATTTGAAGTTCCCCAAACCTTGCAAATCGGGCGCAAAATTGACATGATCTCAATTTAAGAGTTCAACCATTATATACTCTGTTTGGGTCATGATTTCTAACTTTTCTGCTTTTCAATATGAATTGTTGATCGATGCCTTAAGAACGTTGGCACTCTCTGGTTTTTGTTTATTCAGGATGAAATATGAGGAAACTAACGGGTCAAAGCAGCTAGTTTGAGTTTTCTATCATTGTTTTGCATCTAAGTTGAAGGCATCTCCGATTTAGAGGACCATGGCTCACCAAATTTCCTTGATACCTGAATCTCCACATAACTTATCCATGCCATTAGGTAGAAGGGGATGTCACAAGCTTGGGTGTCATTATCCTTTTCTCTCGAACAATCAAGGATACTGCCTTTCTTCTTCTTTCAGAGGGAGGGGCTTCTTCGATCATCGTTTAGTGAATTATGAATATCAGCATCATACCCAATAGGGATGCATATTTTGTATGGGTAGTCCTGAAAATTTAAGAGGGAATAGTATCTTTCTTATTACTACCTTTCTTTCCATACCATTTAAACAAATTCTACAGCAGCTCACAAGCCAGATAATAACAAATATATTCCTCAACGATGCATTTCTAGAACAATCATTCTGCAAGTAGATCATGCTCAAAGAGTTGAATAAGAGATAAAGTTTATACCTCAATCAACCTATTGAACTGACTGAAACTAGTTTTAAAAGCTAAGCTCTCATCTTTCTCTTGTGAGGGTTTAGTTCTACAGAAGTAATCATAAGTAATATACATGAGAAAATCCATGAAGACGCTTTTCTCATATGATGCATTTATATGCTCGCCACCTTCTTGTATAATATGGTAGGCCCTGTTCATTATTTTATGTGTCGTTTCATCGAAATCAACACGAATCGCACTCAACTTCTGACCCCAAAATATGGCTTTCTCAGGCATCCCTTGCTTACAAAATTGAGACAGTAATACGTTTGCTGTGACAGTGTTTGGAACAAACGCCATCTTAAGCAATTTCGCAGTTAAAATCATAGCATGGTCCAGGAGAACATTACAGACAGCATTAATCATGGTATTGTATGTTACAGTATTCGGAACTACTCCAGCTGAAATAAGTTCCTCTAGTATCTGTACAGCCCGATTAACTTTTCGGGCTGTGCAGAAACCATGAATTCGTATATTATAAGTCATGATATCAGGTTCCCACCCACTATCCGACATTTTCATCACTAAATCATCTGCACCACCCATATCAAATGCTTTACAGTAACCATCAATCAATGTGTTGTAAGTAACAATATCAGGAGATAAACCGATCCTATACATGTCCATGAACGTCTCAATTGCTAACTTCATCCTACCTTGTTTGCATAACCCACCAATGATCATATTCGTCGTAAAAATATCGGGAAGAAGGCCTCTTTTCTTCATTTCTCTCTCCAATTTCAGGGCTTCATTTAGTTTTCCCACTCTACAGAATCCACCAATCAAGGAATTGTAAACAAAATTATTTGGTACAAACCCTTTTCTCAACATATTAGAGAACACATCATAAGCGTCCTCCATCAAACCCGACATACAGAGCCCGTTAATGAAAGCTGCAAATGCAACAGCGTCAGGAAACACCCCCTTACCCTTCATCTCATTCCACAGACTTTGAGCTGTATTAACATCTCCTACTCTGAAGTACCCGTCGAAAAGACCTGTAAAAGCCATGTTCTTGACAGGGTATCCCTTTTCTATCATGTCGTACAAAATTATCCTTGCATCATCAAGGCTCCCCTTCCTAACTAAGCTGATAAGCAAGGAACTACATGTGGAAGATGACGGGCTTAAACCAAATTTCGTCATTGTACCATAAGCATAAAATGCTCTCTCTTCTAAACCTGCACTGCCGTAGGCTGCAATAATGGAATTAAAAGCTACTACACTTGGAGGAATTCCTTTCTCAAGTAAATCCTCTAGAAACTTCATGGCTTCATCATATCTACCTGCCCAGCACAATCCTGCAACGGTTACATCGCATAGGGAAGAATCATGAAGCAACCCAGACACAGATAAATCCCTTAATAATCGATCCCCATCCTCCTCCCTTCCATATCTGTAATGACCAGCAACCAATATATTAAAGGTAATGCCATCAGGAACTATATCCTTGGTCCTCATTTCTTCAAAGAGCAAGTTTGCTTGACCAATGTCTCTTGCCTTGACATACCCACTTATCATGCTATTATAGACTATAGTATTATGAGAAAGACCCATGTCTTCAATTTCATCAAAGATTTTCCTAGCTAACTCCACGTTTCCCTCCTTGCAGAAGGCATCAATGACGATACTGAATGTAGCAATACTGGGCTTACAGCCGTTTTCAATCATCATATTCACCCAATGAAGTGCATCTGATGACTGCCCTCTTAAGCAGGTTGCATTTATCACAATATTATACGAATAAACATCTGGTTCACATCTAAATTTTCTCATTACATGCAATAGACCTTCTCCAATCACACTCCAACCTTTTCTACAAAACTCAAGAATCATTACGTTAAACATATAGTTATTAGGGCGAGGTCCCTTCCGAACCACGTCCCGAAACAACTTCCATATAGCACCATAATCACCAGCTCTAAGCAGCAATCTAAAAAGAATGGAAATGGCGGATGCATTTGGCATCACTCCCACCTCCCGCATCTTACTCAATATTTCTAACGCCTCATAATGCATTTCCGACTTCATAAACGCCCGCATTAGAGTGTTCAAAACTGAAAGGTCAGATTCATACTCACAGTGACCATCCCACATAAATGCCGCCAAATCCTTGCTCCTACGTGGACCAATTCTTGCAAAAATCCACGAAACAATATCTTGCGCGAGCAAAAAAATTCGTTCTGCAGCTAAGAGATGTGCCACTACACAACAAGACCTTACAGTCTCTTCACAATCGTCATTAAACGCTAGCTTGAAGAACGCAAACGCAGTTTCCCGACATTCAAACAATTTCATAATCTTAACCAAGAAAAAGGGGCAGAAATTTCTCGATAATTCCTTCAATGCGTATCCCTGGTACAACTTAATCGCTTTGGATAACCCAACAGTGATTCTACGTCGGTCATTCGTAGTGACGGAACTCACAGAAACCAATTTCAAAGTACCATCGTTGGAAGGCAAAAATTGAGCAATATAATCAAAAGCACAAGTGCTCGAATCAGAAGAAGACGAAGAACTGTACTTGTTTAAGAACTTGGGAGTTAGGGTTTGAAATGGACTCAGAGAAGAAGACCAGTGTACCTTAAAAGAGTTCTGTAGGCAACGCACATAGACAAACATTGGAAGGCGGCCCAGCTTGGAAGAGCTTTCGTATTACATTCCAAGCCGGAATTCGATCGGCGATTACTCACCGGGCGGCGAGTTGCAGAAGCGTAAATGCCGTCGGAAGAGAGGGAACTGTGTTTGTGCTTTCAATGTCAAGCAGGAAGACGATATTTTGGTAAATGGGCCTTAAAGAGCTGAAATTGGGCCGATAAATGGGCCGTGTCATGTCCTTGGAAGTGAGAAGTTCGAATGCCAGATGGGCCGTACGGCCCATAGTGAGAGTAGTTTTGGCCCAATCCAAATTATAATTTAATTATTTAAATTATCAAATTTATTTGAAGAATCATTCAACAAAATTTGACTAAGACAAGTCATCGATGACATATTACATAAAGGGACACGTTTTCTCTCAAGAATGAATTTATACCCCTTCAATTTTTATGGTATAAATTAAAACTCTTACTAATTTTTAAATATTTAATGAAAATAATTAATATAAATTAACCAAACACCGGAGATTAATAACTATATGTAGACAATTTTGAGCCTATTTTAAATTAAATGAAATAATCTGTAAACAACCAGCAAATGTTCTATATTATTATTTCTAAAAAAGTTTAAATTTTAAATCTATATAATTATTAATTTTTTGTTTTAAGTAAATTGGTTTTTTCCTTTATTTTTATAGATTGAGTATGGCATCAAAATAATAATATTATTTATAGATATTGAAGTTTTTACTCCAATATGAATTTGTGATAATTGTACATTTTTTCCCTTTATTTTTTGTTTAATTACAATGTAAAAAATATGAACTTTCAAATTTCATTTTGAATGGAAACTAAATTTTATTTATATGATTAACTTTGAATTAATCAGTGGGATTATTCCTAAATTCTTATAAATTAGTTTCTTTTTTTTTTCTAATAGTCATTTCAATAATGAGAAAATAAAATTTTCCATCTCAAAATTGACCTTTTTTTTTTTTGAGAAACTACAAAAAAAAAAAAAAAAAAAAAAAAAAAAAAAAAAAAAAAAAAAAAAAAAAAAAAAAAAAAAAAAAAAAAAA